GGGTGAGGGCTTGATTGAAGAGCTCCAGAACCCCAAGCAGTTCCCATGTGGTAGTTCCCACGTGGTAGTTCGTGCTCCACACATGCTTGGTGAGGTCACAGCGTCCTGGAGTTGGATTTGGACGGCGAACTTCTCATTGCGCCCAGTGACACCCTGGCAGCCGCTGGGACCGATATGGGAATCCGAAGCCGGGCCGATGTTGGAACACCTGTGGGTTGTTCAACCTGGAGCTTCCCAAAAATGGTCGCCAACCACCTGGAAGAGGTACGCCAACTGGTCGGTCTCCTGTTTTCCGACCTGCAGCCATGAACAGTGGCATCGGTGATTTTTCGTGGGGCTCAGCTGCTTCAATCTCCCTTCTCCGCCACCCCAAAACCGAGGAGGTCTTTGATCAGGCGACCCAGACGGCGCTGCGGAAGAGCCTGGCGCTGCAGTGCCGCGTGGTGGGCCTCTTCCCGGATCCCACGCTGGCGCCGGTGGAGACCACGCTGCAGGTGCACATCCAGGTGCTTTGCGCACCGGAGCTTGAGAGAGGGGGGGAGTTTCTTCCTCCAAAAAGGGTTTGGAGGTGAAACTAAGGTTGCCGAAGCTTGGGGAGGGTGGTCCTGGCCCTCGGTGGTGGGGTAGGTTTCGTTTGGGGTTTCGGAGGAGGGGACCGGCACAAGGGAGGGGCTCAAGCGAACGGAAAGCTGTGAGCTTGGGTCCTTGGTCGCCAGACTGGGCGACCGGTCTCCCTGTTCTGAGTGTTACACACCCGTGAAAATGTAGGTGCTACAGAACAGCGAACACAAAACCGACACCCAGTTCTGGGGTGAAATGGAGAAAATTCTGGATGATCTTGGCAGAGTGGTTTCTCGTGGTTTCTCCTTCCCACCATGTCTTTTCCCAACAGATACCCAGCTTCAACCAGTTCCCCAGAAATCATCTACACAAAAGGATCATCACAAGGTCTTCACGGGTCGTGCTAGGGGGGGAAGAAGAACTGCATTTCGAGCAGCTCCAAACAAAGCTTCATGGATGTGTATTGGAATAGGGAGACCCGCGAAAGACTCCGTGGAAGAAGGAAAAGAGACCACAACCCATTGGGCCAGGCAGTTTTCCCCATTAAGATACTACACCCTCATGGCTCCTTCGCCAGGACTCCATTTGCTGGGTGCCCCAGAGCTTGAAAGGCATCGGCATTGTGGATCCCAACGCCGGCAGCGAGCAGCAATGTCGCACCAGGCACAGAAGCCCGGAGCGGTGGTGTATGACTGGGTGGGCGAAACTGCAAAACCAAAGAAAGGGTCTGGGTGTTCTGAGGAGCCTACTGACTGGGCTGGGGGTGAATCTCTCAAACAGGCGTCCTTTTCAGATCCCTGCTAAGCACGAAGCCGCTTGCAGGTGCCGCTTAAGTGCATTGTGTGCCAACTACCGCTGGGAATCCTCAACCTGCTTCAGGCGCCCTTGAGCGTTTTCAGACAGGGGCTGTGATGGGAGGTGGGTTTCAGTTTCAGAAGCGCTTTGGAAGGCTTTGAGTCAGCCTGGCGATGAGTCTAAAGGTTCACCTGCCAGGTTAACCACCGGTCAAAAAGATTGTCTCATCATTTGCTGCCTGGTCTGATCAAAGAATCCCTTGACATCATGCCAGCTAGGTGTTCAAAAATGACCAGTCCAATCCCTCCAGACCGAGAGATGTCGCCTTCTCACCCACACGTCCATCAAATTGATGAGCCCATGAAGCTCCATCAAACTGATGTGTTCTACTGATCAACTCCCCAATGGGAGCTTCTTCCGAAATTTGGAGCTCACCCATATGGGTTTCACTGCAAACCACAGACCTGTGCCGTGTTTGTGTGTGCCGCGCACCCAGATCACGCGCGGGTCCCCTGGGGCTCCGCAGGTACGATGGCCGCTCCGACGGAAGCCCTGTGATGGTGGCGCTGACTTTGCTTGGGTTTTTCTCGACGAAGTGGGTGGGATTCAACGGGTGGGTAGATGTTTTCTCCTTTCACAAGAACTCAACAGCTGAAAGGAATGAGGCTGAACACAACAGAAAAAATGTGGATTGAGGAAAAACGACTGCCAAACAAGTGCCCTGAAAGCCAAAGTGGACTTGTAGCACAGAATTCCAGCCCTTCCACCCTTCAGCATCCACCGGCGCGCTTTCGGGGGCCGAACCGCATGTCTGCCAGGTCAACGCCAAGGTCACCAACTGTACGGATGAGGGGACCTGCATGCAGGTGCAGCATCCCAAATGGTACTTGTCGGGCAGGCGCGTGCGGGATGCGGCGAAAGTGCGGGAAAGACGGTCGCTCGTGCGCGTGCGGCGAGTGCTTGGGAGCACCTTTCTTTCGCCCAAAATGGGTGCTGGGTGGCATGCATGGGGCATGGAGGTGGTGGTGCATACGTTTGGGGCAGGAGACACATTTTGTCACGGCCGGGCATGGCTAAAAATGGCAGATTCACAGGGTTTCGACATGGAAGAGCAACACTTTCGACACGTTTCTTGACGTGCTGCCCGCGTGACAAGAGCCACAAATCCACTGCCCACTGCATCAGAGAAGGGACAGTGCGACCCAAATCCACCGCCTTGTCCCACTGTCTGGTGGCTCGAGTTCTTTGCTTCAACCTGCCTTGTTCGACCAGCCAAGTGTCTCGGGCCTTGCCATCCGGCTCCTTTGGCATCACCCAAGCACCATAACTTGGAGGTGGACTGCACCAATTCCAGGAAGTGAGTCATAGTGTAGGAGTGCATCTGAAAGATTCAAACAGGTCTAAAACGGATGTCAAAAGATGGCAAAAAGCGATCCTAAGCTCAACCTTTCGTCCACCCCCCTGAACCCGGATACCACCTGCTTTGGACCCGCTTCAGTCACTGCTCACCTCGCCCCCCCCATTTCTTGCCCCCCCCCGGCCCCTGCGACAGGTATTGCCCCATGGGCCGCGACGCCCAAAGGGGTGGCACGATGTACCGAAGGGAGCAAGTCACTCCGGAGGATGCCGTCTACTTGCGCCCCGGGCCGCCTCGCCGTCGGGCCATCGGGCCATCGGGGCCGCCCGGGGGGGGCCGCGTGAGGTTCGATCTGACAGCGACCCCGAGGGGTGGAAATCTTTCATCCGGGAAGGCATCGGATTTTGGGGCATTCATGGCCTTGGAATATGGCTTGGTGGATTCTTTTGAGGGCCGACCCCTCATTGTTCCCAAGGTTGGACCATCATTGGATGGATGTTTCTTTCTTTCCCCGCAGTGGCTTGTTCTTTCTGGCGGCGCAAAAAATTCAGACCTGCCCTCCCCAAATCGGGGAACCCTGGAGTCGTCGCAGTTTTTCTGCCGAGACCGTGAACCCCGAAACCTGTGCCGCAGCCAGGTATAAGAACCGTGCTGGGGATGGCTGTTCATCTGGGCAGTGGGTCTTGCAGAAGATCAACGGGGCTGACTACATGGAGATGCTCGGTTCCTTCTATTCACCACTTCCTGCATTTTTGGGCGCAGGATGACGGGCTGGGCCAAGGATGAGGGACATCTATCCATATGAGCACTGATCGAAGAGTCGGGCAGTGGATGACCCCGATAATTGCTGGGTGGCTTCTATGTGGAGAGAACATCCATGTGGATACAGTAACTCTTTCCAAAAACCCACACAAACACACCAGTTGCTGATGCGACAGCGCAAAGCTAAGCGCCCCGACCACTGAGCAGGACCCCGGCTATGCCGAGCGCCCCGACGATTTTCGCCAGGAAGGCGCTGGGAAGCTTCGAGTTGCGTGGTCCCGTCCTGGACTGCGTGGCCTCCAGCCAGGCGGGGCAGAGCCCCGGGCAGGGTGGGGTTTCAGCGGCTTTTTCCAGACCAAAAGAAGGAGTGTCCAGATGGCCCGCGCCAGAGGTCAGCAATCTTCTCTCCTCCATTTTTTGTCGAACGAAAGATGAAGCCGCTTCTGGAGAGGAGAGACGTTGGAAAAGGGATGAGCGGCTCGGTAGGGAGATTTGCACCACCTGACCTCCTCCACCTTCGAGGTGTCCTTCGCACTGGACGCGTGTCCAACAAAGCTCTTGCTGGGGGGAGGAGGAGGACCGGGGACCTGTGGGCATCGAAAGGTCAAAAGGTTTGATGGATGTTGGTATCGGACTTACAGGTGCCCCGGGACTATAAAAAGAATGGTCTTTAGATGACCCGCGTCTAGGACATTCCTTTACATCAGTCGGTCAAAAGATAGTCTTTGGACTTCTACGGGGTGACTTACAGGTCAGTCAATGGCTATAAGTTGAGAAGGTGTAAATCCCTTTTTTTGGGATCCAATTTCGACTGAAGACGGATGAGATTGTGGGTTTGTGTGAATATTATAGGGAGAACACTACTACAGCTACTATGACACAGTCATTTGTTGAATAGATGTGCCCTGCGAACTGGCTGCGCACCAACTAAGCGTGGGTATTGCTTGGTGGTGATGCCCAAAACTGCTGGGCATACCGTGCAAGCACAGGGGTTTGAAACTGAACAGATTCTATGGGGTGAAGGTTTTCTCCCCAAAAAGACCCTAAACCCTAAACCCGGCGTCACATTCTGCCGCTTCGATCGTTCATTCGGACCCTGCGATCGGTGTTTCTCGGTTGGCCAGCACCATGCACATTCGCGAGCCTCGGGCCCGGCACACGCGAGTCGACAGAAACCACTGAACACCCTTCTCACATGGCTGTGGATCATGGCACCCGGAGCCCTGATGCCTGGAAGGTTGACCATGTCTAGTAGCTATTCAATTCTCTTCATTGTCGGTCAGCTCGGGTAGCCTGGTTTGCACAACCACATGTGTCGGACTATGTATTTTCTGTCCAATCCTGGTGCGAGAGGAGACATGTTCAGATCATGGCTCGTTCGTGAACTCGTCGTGCTTGGCACGTTTTTTTCAGATCGTCCAACGCGTCGCTTGCTCTGGCACGGAGGCGTTGTCACGAGCTTTTTTGAAGCTCCAAAAGACGCGAAGGAAGGGGCGTGTTTTTCCCCGAGCTTTTTCCAAAAAACATGATCATAGATTTAGACCTTTTTTGTGGACTGGGCGACCTGTATTGTTCTTCTTCATGTGTCAAAGAAGACCAGCAAACCCATGTTGTAGAGGAACACCGGCCTCAAAAGGGCAGAACTTCAGGTACGGGTCCCGGGTATCACTCTTGTCTTCTCCAGGACGAGGGCCTCCCACCCTTGATCTTAGATGATCCCGGAACGCCGGAGCCCTCCGACTACTGGCTGCATCCCTGCGACTGCGCGCCGCCGGCCTGGTCCACCGGGGCCCCGGTGAACGCAGAGAAGTTCGAAGAGCAGCCTGCCGAGAGCCAGAATGACTCCTTTTCTGCAGTGCGGAACGGAGCGACCGGTGCTGGGTGTGGTGGGTGCGGCCTGTTCTGAGAGTGTCTGGTGGGTGTCAGTTTGTGTGCACTGGTCTGTCTGACAGTCATCCAACATCACTGCTGCGAAGAGATGAGCAGCCGTTCCCCTTCTCCACACCGAGTCAGGTGTCATTTTCGAGTGCCCAAGAGTCAGAAACCGTGTTCAAGGAAGTAGTACAAGCAATTGAGCTTTTCAGAATGGCTGAGCGTTGAAGCAATCATTAGCTTGAGAAAGAGATCGTGAATTGTGAACAGCGGGAGAAAGTTTAACAAGGATTGATTACAGAACGCTCAACCAAAGAATAAATCAGGTGTCAATGCTCGAAACAAACAATTAAGCTGATGTCACAACAAGCAAAAAGAAGATCGCATTTTCCGGCAAATGCATTTCTGTTCCCACACCGGAAAAGGGTTTCATGTGCTGCACCCGCATGTCCGAGCTTCTTTTTTTCACGTCTATGATGCATGCAGTGCGACTGATGCGTCGAGCCTAGGACTACATCCCGAGCCCCTTCATCATCGTCAGTGGTCAGTTCGTGTGCCCGTCTCGGCAGCTCTTGCCCAAGATCGGCATTCAATTCCAGACGGAGGCAGGTTTCCGCGGCGCTGGGTCAGGGAGAAAATGCGTGGTTTTGTGGCTGAACAGAAAGACGTTCAAGGACATCTGCACTGCACAAAGCCTTTTTGGTCTTTTTCTTCTGCTGATCAGTGGGTTCGAAGACGCTGGTTGTGCTCAGAACACATGCTCCGAACAGGATCAGAAGTGTTCTTGGAGACCAATCTCTGGCTTTCTGGCTGGCACAGCTAGCTTGGGCCGAAACCATTGACCCACTCACATGAAAACGTTATCTTACCTTCGAAATTCAGATCCTCATTTCCCCTCCCTCTTCGATGTCGACCCTCCACGTCCTTCTTTCAGATCGCTGCGTTCGGGACGCCGAACGCTCACGCCGGACCGCACCGGTCCCGCAGGAGGAGCTGTTGGAGCCCTCGGACTGCGAGGCGCGCTGCCGGGATCACTCCGATTGCCAATTCTTTTGGAGTGGCGCCCAACACGGCGCCGCCACCTGCCGACTCTTTCAGGCCGGGACGAGGATCGAAAGGAAGAGGAGAAGAGGGACGGAAGGAGGATCATGGCAGGATGGCGATGCTTTTGAGGGGGAAGATCCATGGCAGATTTTTCGTTGGGAGGTGAAGGATGAGAAAGAGGACAGAAGTTTATCTTTTTGGTTTCTGGATTCCTTTGACATCGTGTGGAGGTTTTGGGTCCTCTGCCTGCATCCTCCATGTAGCACCGGCATTCCAAAGCTGACACGCAAGGATACACTGACTGACTGGGCACCTCATCGCACATGGCGCCACATGGCTGGGTCCAATATCTCCCTTGAAGGTGTTGGACTCCTTAAGAGTCTTCACGGAAGATGAGTCCATGGTGGGTCGACGGTTGTGGCCGAAAAGCAGTGGTGATCCGGAGAAGCCTCCGGAAAACGTAATTCGGTATTCGCGTTTCACTATATTCGTCCTTCGCGAATAACATTTCGTTATTCGGGGCTCCGGAAAACGTAATTCGGTATTCGCGTTTCGTTATTCGTCCTTCGCGAATAACATTTTCGTTATTCGGGGCCGGGCCAAGCTTTCGGGATTCGGCCTTCGGCTTGCGGTCTTCGGAGGTACCCGGACCATTTTTTTTGGCGAAAATGGCAAAAACGTAATTCGGTTTTCGGTTTTCGGTTTTCGGAAGAGCGAATAACATTCTCCGGGACGTTCTCCGGATCGGGACTCCCGAAAAGGGTTGTGGCTCGACGAACGTGTCTGTTCTTTTTCTCCGTGTTTCATGCCCAGACTCTTTTCTTGAACGACCCGTTAGCAAGCCGTTGATTTGCAATCGATTCTTACTAAGTGGAGTTCCAGGAATTTCAGTTCTCCTGTTTTTTTCCCCTCAGATGTTGGTCACCCAACCTGGCACCATGCGTGTTGAAAGTCTTCGATTTCTTTCGCCCCCCAAAACTGGTGTCAATCCTGCCATCACTCGTACTTGCGGTGAGTTCTGCATTGCGGTTATATATAGGCGGCACGATACATGCAGGATTGCACACGTGTTCGGCCACATACGGTGGCACAGGCGGTTGTCTGGTGTGCCACCCTCCGCCCTCTCCTTGGTAGGACGACCCGATCCTCGTGTAGTCACCACCGGATGTGTCTTCGGCCACCGGCCGTGAGACGGCCAGGGCTGCGATACGCTCGTGAGGGAGTTCAGCTTGGAAGGTGACCGAGCGGCGACGTGGGGGGGATGAGGGTGTGTCCTGTTTTTCTTCATGGGCCAAGGTGGAGTGAGTTCACCACCTGTTTGGTCTTCAGAGTTCATGGTCATCCAAGACAGTCAAACGCCCACCGTAACCAGGGAGTGATCCAGTGATTCAGGCTGTCCTGCTCTCTTTTGGTGCTCGCATTCGAAGGGGCCAAAAATTCGCTTCACCCTTCGGAAGCCTCGTGACCTTTGGAGACCTCGAGGTGAGCTCAAAGCCTTGCCCCGGCAGCGTGCCTGTCGCGTGGCCGACGCCGAGCTGTGCTGGGCCACGAGCTTGCGGAGGTCGTTCCTCACGATGGCGTTCCGTTCAGGTGGGCCCGATGAACCGCCAGTGCACCGCCGGTGAACCGCCGGTGCCGCCACCGTGAAGAACGTCGTGAGCTTTGGCCTTCTTTCCTTCTTGAGTCACTCGAGTTGACACGACAGCAACCAGACACCCACGACAAACCTCATGTTCTGGGTGTTGGGGTACGCCGGGTACGCTTGTCCGCTGGGGGGGGCTGGTTGCCTTGCGGGAGTGCATGTCTTCTGCGGCGCAGCGTGGTCAAAGCCGCGAGTACGACCAAATCATCATCAGAGACGAATGCATGCTCTGTTTGGGTGGTTCAGGTGACCACCAAGGGAGCCGGATGACCACCTGAACCACCAGGAAAATCATCCTTATTTGGGTCGTCCAGGTGGTTTTGTTGTGGAAAGGATGAGCACCAGCGGGTTGCTGGAGTAGCTGCAGTGAGTAGTCACAGGTTTTCACTTGCTGTCCCAATGGATAGAAGCGATGTGACTCCAGGCATTTCTTCCAGAGGAACATGACTCGATCGATCTCGTTCCGCATCACTACCCTAGGGCTCCAACCGTATCCTCAGGTTCGGCGGTTAGACCCCCCTGGCACCTACCCCAACCACCTTCGAAACGGAGGTGGTTGGAGCCCTATAGGGCTAGTCACCATAGATGGATGTTTCGTGCCACTGCTGCCGAGCCTCAAAAAGGTGCCCGTCGTGGCCCGGACCTTCAGGATTGGTCAGTGACCAGTCCCCGACTGAACTCTTCGTGATCGCTGGGAAGTCCTGGAAGAAGACTGACTGGTGCGACTCGTAGGGAACAAGGGAAGTTTCGCCCCCAATAGAGATTCTATTGGATCCAGCCACCCTCATTCCCTGCTTTCGTCGCACCAGTTCGCCCGGTGGACACCGAGACCGGTTTTCAGGGTGTCGCGCAGGCTCCGCTGCCGGGAACGCCGTGGTACCAGAGGTGGTGCCGCCCCCGCCGGTGGAGCCACCAGCCAGCGGGATGGTCGCATGGTTCAAGAGCGAACATGCAGGCCGAACGTGGTGGGGGGGAGAGGCAGGTGCAAGGAAGGTGCGGGAATGAATGCAGGTGGTTGCTAGAGAATGCAAGAATCTGCTATATATAGGGGTTCATGCACATGGGACTTGAGAGATGACCGAAAGAGGAAGTCAAGTGGCTAAAGAAATAAGGCTTACAAGAATGCAATTGTTGCAAAAGCAACTTGACTGGTACCAGGTATATCAAGAACTTTGTTGGTTCGGTTAGCATTGCATTAAAGAGGAGCCAAGACAAGACAGCTACTCGCTGTTCGAAAAAAAAAAAAAAAAAAACACATCGATTGGTGAAATCAAACATAGAACTCCATTTGATGACAGCTCCATGAACTGTAACGAAAAAAGAACTTCCGAACGGAGCCTTGTAGTTACTGGTGGCCAATCAGTCTGGTGGGATGTTTATAGACCGTTTCATAGACTCAGCCGCGCCCCAAGTGGGGGGGGTACTTTTGGCAGTCAAGACTATAGGGCAAGTGCTTACTCAGAAAAGTGAAGTCACACGTGGCTGAAGCCTTCGACTGTTGGGTCTCTCGCCTTCCCCAAAACCCCTTCCACGAGGACAAGGCTCGGTGAAGCAGTGCATCCAATCCTCTCGTGAAAGCAGCGTAAGGATGCGGAAGGGAACATGAAGAGCGATGGCCTCCAACCTAAGAGCGATGGCCTCGTCTTCATGCTCCGAGGTCAATAGCACCAAAGCACCACACTAGCTCGACTCGACCTTTTGGATCTCACACATCAAGTTCACTTTTGGATCTATGACTCGTATGACCAGCTGCCAGGTCTTTCCAAGACATGTCCTTCACTGGGGCTTGGTTTCACCATGTTTCACCCCTGTTTTTGGAGGTGTGCCGGCCACGACCACCCCAATGACCGCTTCTGGCGGCGATTTGGTTGGTTGATGAATAGAGGCTAGGGGATACCTACCCCTTTTCCTGTACCACCACTTGGTGTACCTGGCACTCCGAGGGGGACCTGTATTCTTCCCGGAACCCGTTCCGGACATCGGTGGGACATCTGGTCAGTAGGCCGTCCTCCAGCTTCCATCCATCCAGTCCCAGATAGATAGAGCTGATTTCTGGTAGACTTGGGTTTTCTTAGTGAGCTTGCTTGGTTGCTTGGTTGCTTGGTTGCTGGCTTAGAGCTGATTTCTGGGGGAGCTCATCTCTTTTTGAAAGCTGCCAAGTTCGAGTCCAGAGTCTCGAGCCTCAGTGGAGTCCAGAGTCTCCGGGAATCTGCCCCCAAACCAACCCGGAAACCGCACAACGTTGGGTTCGGGGTTCCAGAGGGTGTGTGTCGCGACCTTCAAGTGAAACCAGGGATCGATGACACCGGTGTTTTCAAAAGGACCTCATTTCTTCCAGAAGTGGTAGAAGTGGGTCAGATTGGAGGACTAGGACTAGGACCGGACACCCACAGTGATTGGGGGTGAACAGCATGGTTGCCACTCCGGGGAGGCTCCACGTGGAAGAGCTCTGTGGGCGACTGGGAGGGCGTCGCCGTGCGCGCCTCGGCGCAGCGCACGGTGCTGGCGGGCTACGGGGCCGATCGACCGGTGGCCTATGTGGCAGGCGGCGGAAGCCCGCGCGGCTGGGAGAGGGTTGCTGGGCCGGCTGGGGGTGCGAATTGGTGGTAAGGGGTGTCTATTAACCACCCCTTAGGGTCCAAACAACACCCCTTGGGGTCTCCTGGAAGAGAAAGGTGTTGCTGGTGATGGACCAATTGTTGTCCGGAGCAGGTCCATTTTGGGGCTTTCAGGCTAGCGGCTTGCACGTGCTTTCGGTTGGTTTTCAGGTGCTCACTTGATCGCTTGGGCCACAGATCTTCCTGTCTCTCAGTGTTTTTCACTGGTTTGGTCTTTCAAACATCATCCTACCACTGAGGCGCAGGCAAATCGTCAGGGTCCTGCAGTCCCTAGTCTTGAACAAGACGGCTGCCGGGTCCTCCTTGAACCAGATCTGGCTGTGGGTCAAACCAGGAGACCTGGGTTGACCTAAATGAACAGAATGGACTATCTGGGAGGTCAGCCTACCAGGGTTTGTCCAGGTTTGGACTCACAGCCAATATCCCCAGCACGCCAGTTGGAGTGCGGGCCACATCTGGTCCGTGCAACCCGGCGCGTTCCGTTCGTCGGCGCGTTCCGTTCGACGACGCGGGGTTGATGAACTCAGCATTCCGGCCACGGTGGGAATGCAGGCGGTTCCATGGCTGGCTTCTATTTTGGCACAGTGCTCAAACGCACCTTCACCCTTTGCTCTGTGACCCGTGACTGGGCGAGCGCCGCGCTGGGCAGTGAGATTCACCCGAGTGGAGCTTAATGACCCTCTGAGTCCAAACTCCGCCACAGTCTGCCGCAGACGCCGTAGACTGGATGATGCGAATGAGTTGAGACCAATGGATCTGATGGTGATTTGTTCCGGAGCCACCTTGTCGGGAAGGTATGGGAAGGATATTTGTTGGACAAAATGCACCACGTGGTGACAACAGGTCTAGTACTCAGGAAGGAGCAATGGAGTTTGTTTAGATTACCTGCTCATGCGAATCAAGCAGGCAAGCTCCGGTTGTGAGCTTCTTAAGAACTCCTGAAACGGCTGTGGGTCATGGCACCCGGAGCCGTTCCTCACCGGCCCAGTTGACCATGTCAGGTAGTGGACCTTCTGCTTCATGTTCCGTGGTCGTTCGTCCTGCCATGACCCATAGCCACAGACGTGACCGGACGTGACCGGTGCCATGACCGAGCGACGTGCCGTTTTTGCGGGCGCCGGAAAGGCGAGGCCGCATTGTTGGTAGTGGAAAGTTCATTCATCGTGTCTATGCTCAGTACTTTTTCAGCAAAGATCTTAGTGCTGTCCAGTTCCCATAGCCGCCGCCTGGTGAGGGTTTATCTTTCACCAGTGGGTTGGACAACATTGACCGATCTAGTCCACCAACCATTCTGCACCTGGAATGTAGCGGTACTTTGGCTTGTTCACCACGCAGGAGACCACACTCCAGACTGGGCTCGTGTTTGCTGTCGTTTGCAGCGAAACAGACAGAGTGTTCTCTCATGTTCTCTCAGCACCTGGGCGGTTTGGAGATGTTGGGCAACCTCCCGACGAGAGTTCAGCGCCTCGTTGCGATCCGAAACCTTCCATCCTTCTTCACGTCCCACCGGTCTACAGTCGCTTCGCGCTCGAGACCATCGACCAGCGAAGAGGACCGGTTGTGAAGACGACTGACACCGAGGCTACACTGGCTGGCACCGCGGACGTATTTTGCAAACGGCTGAGAAGAACTTCCTCCATGGGCACTGGTCTGAACAGGCTTGTTAGACTGAGTTTCAGTGCTTAGTAGGGAATGAGGGAGTGAACCCCCACAAGAGATGCCACTTGTCGGATCCACCCACCCTTCTTCAGCCTTATTCCTTACGAGTCTGCACGAGTCAGTAGACTGCCAGACCAGACCTTCTTTCATTCCTCTTTAGTCGTGAAGTCGACGGAGGAAGGCGAAGGCTCGCACCTGATTTATAGAGGAATCCAGGGCTCGGCAGGGTTCCGCTGAAAGAGATGATGGATAGTCATGGGCTGTTTTGATCGGATGTCGCTTCGATCGTCGAGGCCGTTGTCCGGCACCGGAAACGCTTCGACCTGGCGCTGTGAACGGCCGGTCTCTCAACGACGTCGTCCTCACCCAACATTATCCGAAATGGATGGTGACCGATGGGAATTACTGGGCACCATCCAGAGACCAATGACTCCCTTATACTGATACTGACTTCTCCTGGATGGTGCCCAGTGGTTGGAGGGATGTGGCCTGCCCGGTGAACTGACCGCCGCCCAAAAAAGCAGGTTCAGCTTTCGGAATTGGCTGTGGGCACTTGAGCTTGTTGCTTGGTAATGGCAAAAGTGAATAAACGACTCTGGGTATTCAAAGGCCACCACCAATCAATGAATATTGCTGTGGGCAACATTCATTTGACTTGTGTGGCCTTTGAATATTCTTGTTTTACCACACCGCCTCTTCCTCCCGTGGGCACTTGTCTCAACCTGTCCACCCAAGAGCTCACCACCCAAAAGTCACTCCCATTGGCCCGACATCCAGCCAGACCACCAGGTGGGGGTGGCGCACTATGACAAGTGGGTGACGCACACCCACCGGAAGCTTGGTTTTGCTAAGCAACATGTTTCTTTTTCCCGAGCTGGGTGCATCCTGGAATTTGTGGCATATGTCAACGACCCTCAAGCCAATCTAGAGAACTCATCCCCTTACCTGGGGCATGATTTTTCTTAAAACTTTTTAACATTTCGGTTTCCCCCGGCCACCCCAAATCTCTCAGGAATCGGAATTTCATGGACTGGTTGGTCATGTGCGGCACCAACGCCGCCGCCCGGATCTACGACGCCACCATGAACGTGGCCAGCGACACGGCGGGGGACCTCGGACGCTGTGGCATGACGTGCCTGACGTCGCCGTGGTGCGTGACGTCACCGTGGGAGTTGGGCAATTCCCTTCCCGTTTTTCTCGGTGTGAGACTATCTGCCTGGCAGTGCCTGGCGGGCAGTGCCAGGGGGATCTTCCAGTCAGCTCGAGCAAGATGATGGGTTCAAACCAGGCAAAAAGGACGAAACACCAACCACATGGGAGTGGAGGTGGACAATGGCCAAAAGAAGACGACTCGTTCTCGGATTATTTTTTCCACTTCGATTGCAAATCCAAATGATTCAAAAAGGGGAGGAGTGTGAAGATCACGTCTTGCCACAGGCATGCGCCTGAACGGCATCCCCCAGGCATCCCAAATCCTCAGGGACGGACATGGTCCAGCATTCCAGGAGATGTCCCCAATTTCAGGAAAAAACGTCTTCTCTGAAACGAGCAAATGATGGTCTGCCAGGTTTCGGAAGAGGGGAAGTCTGTGGCTTTTGCAGTTTCCATGTGAGTCACTGGATGTTTTTTTGTTACTGTATTGTTATTATTTTTTGAGGTTTCTGGCCACATTTCTTTCCTTAGAAACAAGCTTAAGGCCCATGGTTTGAGGTGTGTCTGGCCTGTGACGTGGCGACGCCAAATGTTCGGTGCCAAATCGACTGGTCAGGGTCCGTTGAGACGGCCATCGTACCTCCCAGGACTCCAATTCCAAAGCAGGAGGAAGTAGGCAGAGGAAAAAGAACTATATAAATGGATGTGTCGTTCAAATAGGGAGACCTCCCAGTCGTTCCGTTCGACCAGTCTACTGAGAGAGGGCGAGGGGGGTCTCCTTATTAAAAGACGCGCCCAAGTAGGATTCCCAGTTGCGACACCGCGGTGGAAGAGAGAAGGGAGTGAAGAGTTGGGATCCTTTCCGCTCCATCCTATCTGATGACTTGGTCTGAGGAGTGGAGCAAACCTTGGTGATCAACAATGGTGCGTATAATGAGGCGAGGACGTTCGGTGCGCCTACAAGGCCGCGCCACGCCGCTGCATGGTGTGCGTGCGCCTTCCGTGCGCGGCGGTCGTTTTTGATTGGTTAACTCAAAGCTACAGATCCAGTAGAATGGAGGAAATACGACAAAAACATGAACACGTCCTTAGGAAGCAAGGGCTGCAAGTTTCTGACCGGCACCTTTCTCCATGGTTTTGCAGGTGTCGGAAGACAACCTCTCTCGGAACTCCTATTTGCCCGTATCGCGAGTGCCCACTTTTTTGGCTTTTCTCTGTTTTGTCTTCTTCTGAATTCTGAATTCTCCGCAAGCAAGCGTTTGTGGTTAGTTTCAGAACACCGAGCTGTAATTGGGTTGGATTTTTTTGTCCATCTACGGTAGAAGTTCGAACTTGTATCTTGTTAACAGGTAGTAGGCAGCAATCCCAGCATGACTCACGTCCAGGGCTTTGTCAAAGACAACTCTGAAGCAGCCTTCCAATACTCCATTGAGATCCATTTAGGATTGACCTTGTATTGCAAGATTGAACGACACCTGATGGAGCTGTTCTTGATCACTCAGTTGGAATAGATGGGTTGGCCAAACTTGGTCGGTTCTAGCACAGATGGATGACCTACTTAGGACTTGGTGGCTGTGGGACAGAGGTTTGAGGGAATGGAGGAGCAGAACCAAGGCATCCTCAAACCAGGTCAGAGTGTGCGCTTGTGAAAAACCATCTCCCAACCGTTTCCTCTAGCATGGCCACAATTTGTTTGATGATCCTTTGCCACCTGCCACCGCTGCTGTTCCACCAAACACGGATGATTCCAAGCATATTTGTCGATCTCGACCCTCTTGGTCACTGACCCCGGGTCGTTGGGCCCCGAAAAACACGATTCCACGATGGTGGAGCGACCTCAGGTGTCCGACTTTGGTGTGATGGAGGTCATTACCTGGGATCGTGCCTTGAGTGATGCTGAGATGCTCACGACCGTGGAGTATCTCCAGTGGAAGTTGAAGGTGAGACATGGGGAAGCTGGGAACGACGGTGAGACATGGGACACCGGAGAGCAGGCAGAGAGGGAGCAGGGATCGGATGGGTTTCTTTTCATGGCAAAACAGGATTTGGTCTCACAATGTCCCATTTCTATCCACTAGACAACCTCTACGAGTAGACCATGCTCACGTAGAAGCTTCTCCGGGGCGTCGGGAGACACGTCACCCCGACGCCTGCGGTCGGATCGACGCCGCCTGCGTCGGCACCTCGACCTCTTGCTCGCCAGCGTTGGGAGGCGGGAACCTTCTTGGAGGCGGAGCCGCGCAAGCCCTTCCGCGAGAGCAACTTCGTGATGTCGAATCCCGGAGGCTTTCGTGGCCTAAGGGCCTAAGGGGGGACGACCAACCGGGATGGTAGACGAGGGAGGACGAGAACGCGGTGCGGGTGTGGGGGGAGGTCGCATTCTTCTTGCCTTTTAGGTGCGGAGAATTTCCATGGAATCGCCCCATGTCACCGGGTCCAGTGGAATCGCCACAGTTTTCCCAGCACGAGCTTGGTCGAGCTAGGGAGCATGTTCTTGTTCGTACAAGACCATAGATCCAGAAAAGGCGTCAGTTCTGGAAAGAGGGACTTTTGCATCAAAACACATCGTAGCAAGAATTTTGCCTGGACCTCCCCGGCAGGAAGGATTCAGCAGAGGAAGTTCATTAGTGTTTTATCAGCTTCGCTTGTCTGATTGTGAAGCTCAACAGTGACCGAAGAGTTAGCAACACAGCAAGGACATGATCTATGAGCCTATGAGATTTCTTGGGGTGGATGGCTTTGGAGCCGCTCCCATATGCTCCTGCCAGGTGCACACTACTCGGACAATGTTCAAGACCAGACCTTTCACCTGACCTTGGACAATGGCTGCTTGGTGCGCGCATGGACCGCATGAGAACCGCAGAGCCTTCCAAAAGCTGGAGTGTGAAGGAAGCTGGAGCATCTTATGGTTATGTTGTCAATCGATGGGTTGATAATCTACCTCTGACTTGGTTTCCAGCGTCTGTGCATTTGCAGGGCTTCAAGGGACACCAGAAGACCTGGTCCTCATGAGGAGGATTCTGGAAACACCCAAGTGCTTTGCATGGGACGTTTCCATCCTCCGTTGTCATGGTTCCCTGCCCCACCCTCAAGCCCCGCCCCTTCCGAGGCCGGGACGTTCCAGGATCGGTCCGCGTGCCCAGGTTACACAGTGTCTCTTCATGGCTGGACTCATACGCGCGACTACGCCGGCTTCTTGCGGAACCAGGATGGCCATGCCACTGCCCAGGTCACAGGGCTATCGCCCAACGAAGTCTATCTCTATGAGGCCTCGGCTGGACTCACCGGGGATGGTCCGTGATCGATCAGATGCCCCAGCTGCCCCAGCACCCACCGGTCTAGTGCGACAAACCAGAACACACGCCCCACCCCGCCGGTTCAGGGGGCCAATTTTCACGTGACTTCTTGACCTTAGGCCTTAGGCGTCAGACAGTGTCAGACCCTTCAGATCCTTCTACGTCTCTTGGCCTAGTCTCAGACAAGACGACCTTCCTGGTTGCAGATCTTCTCGCGGGACACCTCCGGGCACTTCAATGAAGTGAACCTCTTCTCGGTGAACCGTGGCAGAGAAGCCACCATCTCACAGGACCGACCCGGGATCCGTTGACGTTATTTCGGACCTCAAAGGTAACGGAGTTGTCATGACGAACGAGTCCCGACTGTCTCTCAATGCAAACAAAAAGCATCAAGGCCGAAGCCACGAACCTGAATGCACACGAGCCGCCCCGCCCGATGCCGCCCGGTTCCCCGCTTCCGCAAAGATGGCCTAGATGGCAGGGACGAAACTCGGTGCCCTGCCGACGAGGGCTTCTCGGTCTCCACACGACGTCGGGCTCGTTCAGGACATCTTTGACTTTCCAAGGGCAGTGGGTGTGGCTACTGCGGACGCACACGGAGTGACCTGGTGGATGGAAGAGTGATGAAATGTTGAAAGGCAACATCCTACGGAAGTGGACCATGAGCACGGAAAGGCTCTGATTCCTTTGCATCCAGTCGGTTGCCCACTTTGTTTTTTGAGTCAGAGTGCCAGGGAGATAAGTTGGAAGGCGTTGATAGGGTAAAGGTTAGAGTTTCTACAGTAAGCATATTACCAATGTAGACTCTTGATTTGAAAACCTCTTCATATGGGGTGTATATATATGGTAACCCCCAAGACCTACCTTTTTGCACTTCTAAGTGCTATTTGCAGTGAATTCTGCATTCTGAGGTCATTTTTTCGTTGAAGTTTCAGACGCACTGCGGGGGTGCCATACATATATGTAAATATATGATCCCCCGTACATGAGGCTCTATGAAATGACAATCACTTTCCTCTATGAAATGGGTTTTGGACACCCATTTTATATAGAATATGTGGTTTCAGATTTCCAGAATATATTTGAACATCACAGGAGATCATTTTATAGAGGGCTGCTTGAGCAAGTATGTACTTCAGATGGGATTGTGTGCAAGGATGCAGGAAAGGCATTCTATAGAGCGAGCAGGGGGATCATATTGTTGTATGTTGTTAAGATCAAGATGTCAAGGGGATCATTCTATAGAACTTCATCTTATAGATGTTTTTTGTTTGTGATATGTTTTATATTTGTTTTCACATGCTGGTAATCATTTTATATAAATACAAGGCTTGTCATGTTATAGACAACTTATCCCAGGCAACTCATTCTATAGACACAATTTGTCTATGAAATGTAATGTAAGACACCCAAGGGAAAATGTACGGGGGATAATATATGTATATATATACATATTGCATAAAGTCTACCCGGCACCCATTCCTCACTTGATTGATCAGCACAAGAAGGATGTGGTTAAGTTGTGGCTTGTTCAGGAGCCCATCGACGAGCTAGTCCCTGACACTTTAGAGGCTCTACCTGAGCCACCTGAGAAGAAGCACAGGCAGCACCTTGAGACCCTCAATCTCATCTTTGGGAACATCACTGATTTTGGTCATCGTGTGCAGGGCCCTTCATGGACCACGGCATCCAAGCCACCACGCTCACACTTACACCAAGGAAGGGAACGGATGGACTGCTATTGGGATTCAGAGGGAAGCTCTCACCATCTTCGTGGTCAACCTCTACCTCAGAGCGGCAAAGACTCTTCAATCTCCTCTGAACGCAGACCTCCTAGCTCGTTTGCTCACCTTCCTGGACCATCATCGTTGGAGGGGACTGGCAAGATGAACCTGAAGCCCTGGCTGCAACGGTCATACAGAGCAAATTCAAGGCACAGATCACAGCCACCGCTCCCGACCTCTCTGCTCTCACTCAGGTCCAGATTTTGAACGAACTCAGACAGCAAAGCAAGAAGAAAAACAAGAGCAAGGAAGAGTCCATGGCTCCCACGGAGGACAGGAGACCAGCGAGACTTCGTCCGAGAGTGGCAGGGAAAAACTCCGTGGTGCTGGAAAGGCTTTGCGCGCCCACCGCCAGAACCAGGCCAGCAATGAGGAAGAACCCAAAGAAGCATATTTGACGCTACATCAAGGATGTGCAGGAAGTGTTGGGCGCAACACATCCCAACGCTATCTACACTCTGTCGGATTTTTCCAAAAAGCTAAACTGGGGAAAGAACCGGAGCCTTTTTCGCATTCACTTCGGGATTTCGGAAGCCTTGGAAGTTTTGCTGCAGGGAAAGTCAGAGCAGTGTGCGCTGCAACTTTTTCAGTTGCTCCGTGCAATCCATCAGTGCAGCCTCGACCAGGGAAGTTGGGCCACGGCCTGGCTCCTCACACATCTGCCCGATCCTTTAGAGAAACCGAAGTTCGGCGGAGAAGCCCAGGAATTCGAAGTAGTAGCCAGTTATGTGAAGGCGATGGGAGAGTTAGAAAAGCCCAGCAAGCCACGCCTCACCACCACAGATCTGGCGGAGGAGGACAGTCAGACAGGCAAGGGCGCCAAGAAGGGAAAAGGCAAGACAAAAACCAGAAAGCCCGACGAGACAGAGTCGTGAGTCGGGTTCCCTTGAGCAAGCCAAATGCCCAAGACCAGCACTTTGCTGGCCACCTTTTTCATGTTGTTAATTCAATCCATGGATCTTTTGCTCGATATTGGAGGATCCACCTTAGGTCTCAGAAGCAGACAGGGGTCAGAACATCCAGCGCGCCTGCTGGGTCAAGGTCGTTTGTCCCGTCTAGGCTCCCGTGGCTTGCGCCCCCGGGTAAAAAGACGAGGCCTTCCAAAAAAAAGTTCAGAGGGAGGCTTTTGACTGGTTGCATCTCTTGTGGGCCCTTTTCAATTTCTTGGATTCCGGGTCTCCGAGTTCACATGCAGCTGCCAAAGCTTCAGTTGAGCGTGCCTCCCAAGGGGAATGGACTGCCCAACATGAGAGCTATGCCCAAACAACGTACCGCCACTTAATTCATTACTGTGCCCATCCTAGGGGGACCATGGAAAGAGGCCCAGCCCAATTAACCGAATTAATTGAACGAATTCACTCAGTCAATATGACCCTAGCATTGTTGTTTCTGGAAAGCCTGAAGGTGCAATGGCCGTTGATCCCTCTCGGATTTCACTGCCGGAAAAGGCTAGGACATTAGATCCCCGCCAGCATCTTTCAGGACAGCAGCTGCAGCAGTTCGAACAGACGCCGCAAGACATTCCAACAACCCTTAGCTGCCCTAGCTCAAATCACGACCCACCAGCCTGCCACAAAGCGAAGGACGAAGACTGGCCGCCTCTGCTGCGCAAATTGCACGCGGCCAACATGATTGACTTTTTACCTAGGTCGCAGGTGCTGGCAGAAGGGCGTAAGCTCATTAAGGGGGGGGGTTGTTTTGCGTCCCACACAAACCTGAAAGCGATAGATTGATTAATGATCGGAGGCCCCTAAACCTCAGAGAGAACGTAGGTTAAATGGGTGCCAGCTCCCAAACGGGTCCATGCTCACTCAGTTAATTTTGGGAAGGTCCGAAAGCGTTCGTGCCAGCGGGGACGACTTGTCGAACTATTTGTATTTGATCCGCCACTTGGAAGCCTGGAAACCACGAAATTGCTTTGGGAAACCCATACTTGGGTCCAAACTGCCGGACTTGGGTCTCATACCCGACGAGCAATATTTCCCGGCCTTCACAGTTCTTTGTATGGGGGATACAAATGGTGTTGACATCGCCCAAGCCACACATGAGAGCGTGCTCGAAGCTGCTGGTTGCTTGAAAAACTCGCAGAAGTTAGTTTACGGACGCGTTTTCCCTTGTTCCCGGACTTTAGAAGGCTTGTATATAGATGATCATGTAACATTTCAAGCAGTAGACAAGAAGCCCACTCGTGAGAGGACCACCCAAGAAGACGAGATACTCGCCTCTTCTGCCCGAAAACGTTATGAGGAATTGGGCCTTCCTAGGTCTCTCAAGAAAGCCTTTGACAAACAATATGAGTTCAAGGCCTGGGGAACGTCCGTTTCTTCAGCTAGCGGGTGGGTTGGCGCTCCAATTGCCAAGCTGCGGCAGATCGAAGCACTGACTGCTGCACTACTTGAGATGGGGAGGACAACGAAGGAAGCCATGCAAAAGTTGGTAGGATTGTTCGTGCGCCCGTATATGCATAGGCGTGAGTGCATGTGCGCCTTTCATCACACCTACTTGGAGCGCATGCCTGAAACAAGCACGGTGAATCCCCCACACCATGTGCGAGATGAGCTATTTCTAGCCAGTTTGTTGCTCCCCCTCGCTTTTAGCAGTGCCAGATGGCCAGTGTCAGTGTAGATCTCGGCGGGCGCTGCCACCTCAGCAGGTGGTGGCAGAACCTCAACACTCACTTCAAAGGCATTTGCAAAAGCGCTCTACAGGTTTGGGGAAAAGAGGGGTGAGTACACCAGGCTAGATTGGGACAGCCTTGCCATTCCGCCCCCCTACATGCATGCAACCGGCGCCAAAGTGTCTAACCGACACTACTAAAGCATAAGTGGGAAGTAACTCAAGCCACGAAGCTCACCTGGAAAGACCACATAAACCTCCTCGAAATGGAGATGGTGAAGCGTGAAATCAAGGACAGGGTAAACTCAGGTAGAGGCAATTGCCGAGTTGTGAACCTTTGTGACTCACGGGTGACCGTAGGAGCCTTTGCAAAAGGCGCAGTTCATCCAAGCAGATGAACCACAAGCTGAGGTCGTGTTTGCCGTACCTCTTGGCAGGCAACCTGTCGCTAACCAACATCTGGGTAGACACTCACTCCAATCCGGCCGACTTCCCATCCCGGGGAAAGCCTATCCCAGAGGATTTTGGCAAGTCTAGTTTGTCGCAGTGCTTGTTGGACAAAACCAGTCAAACAGCTGTGCAAGCCAAGAGATCGCCCGCTGTCCAGAGGTTTTTAGAGCAGGGGTGTCAACGTAAGGGAAACCATGTCGTATACGGCACACACGCAGCCATGCGCAACCAATACTTCTTAGGGTGTTTTTTGTATAGATGCATTAGAGCATCCCTCCTCACACTAACACTCGTCAAACACTTTTGCTACTAAACTTCACAGCAGAAGGAGCGCCAGAAATGTCTGCTCATCTTTGTGCATGCTGTTAGTGCGCCGAGGGATGTTACAATAGATGCATTCATTGGAGGAATTGCGTGTTGTTTGTTTTTTAAGCAGTGCGAATCGTGTGTCAACTACATGTGCCTTCGCGCCGCGAAATACGAGCGTCTCGACAGGCCAGACTAAGTAGCCATGGGTCGCAAGCGCTATTAAAGACTTTGCCTCACATTGAAGACTGTTTTAGCGCGTAGCAGTGCAGCCGATCGTGTGCTAGGTGAATATGTCCTCTATAGACATTCGCGAGCCGCAGATCGTAGCCAATCACTGGTGAAACATTGAACATGCTTTTTTTTTGGGTGCCAGCGCCTCCAACCGCGCTTGAAGGGCAAGCTTGTAACAACGTGGGAAAACATGTGTGTTTGTGAAGAACAGAAAAGGCCTAGGCTCAGGCGGCCGCTGCCAGTGCCAGTTTGGGCCTTCATGGTTGGCCTTGCCAGGGCGCATGGGAAAGTTGAAAAAAGACATCAACCTCCGTCACTTGTGGATAGTCTTGTCTATTCTGTTAGAACTTGGCCCTTTATGCATGTTGCGTCCGGGGGAGCTCTTACAACTCCAGCACTCTGATTTTGCGCTGCCAGGTTCTTTTTCTTTGGGACAAAACCTTGCCGCAATAAGAGTTGTTTCACCTAAAAACCGGCGGCAATTCGGTGAGCAGCAGTTTGTCACTTTGAGCAACCCAAATTGCATTGCGTGGTTAATAAGGGACATCCTAGAGGACGATTCCCCGCAAGAGTTGTGGCCTCGTAGTAGTCGCTGTTTCAGCAACATGTTCAAGCAACTCCTAGTCGAGCTAGGTTTAGGTGACCCAAATTTTCTCCTGGCAGTCTGAGACGAGGAGGTGCCACAATGTATTTTGCTAGGGGCGCAAGCATTTCAACCTTGCGCTTCTTGGGCAGATGGACTGTGGAAAGGTCTCTAGAGCACTACATACAGTTGGCAATGTCGACGCAAATTATAGACAAGATTTCCCCAGAGGCAATCGCGCGCTTGAAAAAAGCTGGGCCCCCCTGTGTTTGGCTGTGATTCTGCACACAACTTGCGCACACCGTTTGCACGCCTCAAGTCAGCTCAAAAGACTGATGGCCAGGCCCTTGTGACTTGGTGTAGGACCTATGCAGAGCTTGCTGACTGAACATGGCGCAACCGTCGTTGCAGCTGGGAGTTTGTCCGGCCAAGCGTGCAAAGATGTTCCTGAAGAGCGCAAAGAGATATGATGCAGACAAAAAGTTCCAGAAATTCGCAAAAGCTTATGTAGGGCTGCTAGATTTCGAGCCGGAAAGTGAACCCCGTGCATGTGAGCCACTGGTCCGAAGGCCGGAGGCTACCAGCGCTGCTGCCCAAGCAGGTATTTGCATGTTTTCAGCTGGAGAACCCTGGGCCATGGTGCCTTCAACTGGATTTGGAAGATGCGTTTCCTGCGCTGCATTTTTCTTTTGGTGTTGGTCAGTTTTCTGGCTCGCCCAGCCGTTGCAGCTGCAATCACAAAGTTCCTGGTCGCTAGCTTTCGGCTTTTCCTTCGGCGTGTGTTGAGTTTGTTGGGCGCGATCATTTTTGGCATGGTAGACGAGTTGGTTCTTCAACTTGATTTCATAGTTAAGGAAGCCTTGCCTCCCCCGGTCAATGTGTCCGAGGCTGTGCGGGGGACGTTCCACCTCATCTCCCATGTTTTCTCAGGTTTGTTTGGCGCTGCTATCGCAACACTTGCGCACATTCGCCGCCAACCAATTGCGGCTGCTCCCTAAGCCCCGCCTATCGGGTTGCTGCTTCGCTCCGCCGCCGCCCCACCCACTCCATTGATCAATCTCAATCGTGCCAAACTGTGCAGCCTGATCAGGCGTTGCTGAGTATGTATGCCGCATGTTCAACACATGAGCGGGTCAGTGTTTGCCGATGATTCGCACTAGCGCCATAGCGTGTGCTCATTCCCAACAGATCCACTCGAGAGACCCCAGTTTAGCTGGGTGGGGAGTCATGAATTCACCTTGCGCTTGAGAGTTGGAAGATCGAGAAGGGACTCCGCGCGCAGCAGGCAACGTAAAAACACCAGGAAACGCAAATCATGCACGCCTGCGTATCACAGGGCCAGTTGAGCTGGCCTACTTTGTCAATTGCTTAGCTTCAGCTTTATGCAGAGCACCCTTGTTGATCACATCAACTGTCAACTGACGAACATCACCTTCTGACATCCACGGTTTACAAGCCCATCCCATCGCTCAGTGAGCTTCTTCCCTTCGTTTCCCCGTCCTCAGATCCATTTTCAACCAGCAGTTTTGAATCCTTTACATAGGTCATAAACCCTAGCAAAATGAAGTTGATATTGACATCGTATGCCAGTGTAGAACAATCCCACTGGCTGTTAAACTTCACCGAGAGGTACACTTGGAAATAGACCAGAACGAGGCTTACACTCGCTGTTGAGGGGAAACAGTATATATACGCATGGTTGTTTCTGAATAAGTGCCATCTACTAGTGTATGGTATGGTTTAAAAAGGGCTTGTGATAAAGTGCAGCTGTGAACTATTGTTTTTTTCAACAGCACTCTTGTGTGTATCATGTTGGTTACAAACTGTCCAGGAGATATACAAATGCTTTGCATTGCAGACAGTTCAGATAAACCTCATGAAGATACAAATGCAAAATGATCGTTAATGTTAATACAAGGATATTGAATAAGGAACTAACAAGAGCCAGGAAAGTATAGATGTTGAACCACGGACATTTTAAGATCAAGGATTGGACATTTCATCATGTTGTTCAAATTGAAAAAAACCAATCACCAAATACAATACTTTAAGCGTACCGGCCATAAAGACTATCAAACAAAGTTGTTGTCCGGCTGCAAAATGTTTTTTCTTTCACCATATGCCTTGCAAGCCCCCAAGAAGGTAAGTCATGGGGGGGTAGCGTATGTATACACATCAAGTGTCTACATTAAGTTCGAAGTTCCTCTCAAATTAAGTGGGATGAAACACACCAACCGTGCCCTCCTTTGTGGCAGGGTCTTGAGGGTGAAAAAATCCGCGAGAGATGCTTCAGCACCGGCGTTTTCTTTTAGCAACGATACTTGATTGTGGGTCAACACCCGGAGCCCCAAACCTGGCAGGTTGACCTCCCAGGTAGTGTATTGTGTTCATGATCGGTGGCCATGACCCACAGCCACTTGAGAGAAACTTTTGGACATGGCAAGCGTTCTTTCTTATTTGTGGGGATTGGATGGTTCACACTTTGAAAAAAACTTACTTTCTCCCTTTCCTGGAGGTCTGAAAGGTATGGATGGTCAGGCATCGAATTAGAGCCTGTGAAGGCCGTTGATTAAGACACAATTTTTTTCAATATAGCGGGGGACCTCTGGAGAGCTGTGCAGATCTGCCTCTTGGATTGAGCACCAGTGGGAATCCCCAGGACCACCACCTCGTTGACGAACTTCCTGTCGTTTTGAATGACAGGAAACTCGGCCAAGTACCCACAGATCTGATGACTGATAGACTGATAGACTCACCTTGAAAAACTCGTCGATTCTCTTTATTTTGTTACCCCCACCCCCCGCGTGCTGGGGCCAGTTCCACCGCCGCATGCTTGTCCCTTCCTCCCCCGATCACATGTCACGCCGCCAAATGTTCCAGCCGCCGAGGGGCTCCTGTTCACCTTCCGACGCTGGCAGAGCCATGTCCACTTGAGTGGTCTTCACATCAGCAAGATCGGTCACCACTCCGCGCCTCCGAAGCCGGCGGACCCGCCCTCCGCGGGGATGGTTGCGTGGTTCAAGAGCGAGAACGCAGGCTGGATGAAGGGTGGGTGGATGGGTGGGGGATGAGCGGATGTGTTGGGGACAGTCTGCCTGGCCCAGTCTTGCTGACGGTGGGCTTTTTGGTGCCTTGGGAGCTGGAAAGCTCCAGGGAGGGAAGGGACCGGAGGGAGAGATGCGGAAGACGGACTCACGAACGAAAGCTTGAACAACGAAAGTTAAAGCACGGTAGTCGCTGTGTCAGCTGAAACGAAGACACGGTGAGGTCAGGCCTTTTGAAGAGGTTCACCAGATGAGCTATCCTTCTATTTGGCATGTGATCGCACGACTAGGCAGGTCGAAAAGAGCCAATAGGCGCCTGCAAAGGCAGCTGCTCGTTGTCGTTGGCATCCAAAGATGACGCCCAGAGATCCAACAGATGAGATGACCCCTGAGCCGCAGTCGGCAACTACTACTTGGCGCCTTCGCTTGTTTCAAGCGCCTGATACTTTGGGTGTGGTTTTTTGATGTCGAAGATGGACATGAGGATCAGTTTTGTCACATTCTGTCCACAGGGCACCTGGTACACGGACATGATGAGCAATGCGTTATGTAGAGCACGGACATGGAAAATCAACACTTTTCTAGCAAAACCATGTTGCCTAACACACTTGACAGCAGACGCATACACGCACACACACTTAGATTGATGCTCGCAACAGCTAAATCAGTTGACGAAGTTCCACTTTACTGCAGGTAGACCTTTACACGCAATTAGACCTTGGCTGAGTCCGGAAGCCAGAATTGTTGGAAGAAAGAGAAAGGTGCAAGGGGGTGCGGGGGGTGTGGGCAGGGCGTGCATTGACTAAATGAGCCTAAACGCCGACCTAACAAGCCTGAAGGAAGGCCCAAGCAAACGAAAAAGGCAAGGAAAGAAAGGGTGCAGGGGGTGTGGGGTGGGGGTGGGATGGAAAGCACTGGCCCGAAGGCACTGGCAAATGAAGCCGTCATCAGCGCTCGCTTGACTAAAAGAACATCAGTTACGCCTAAAGAGCCTCTAGAAAACGAAAAAATACCTAGAAAGCGAAGAGCAACAGCAGGAAGGAAAGAACCGAAAAAGTGATTACTTGGCACTCCGGCCTATGACTACCTAGCCGCGTGACATGGACGTGACTACCTAGCCGCATGCGAGAATCCGTGCTGGAGTTCGATCTCAGTAAGCCCTGCGGCGTATGATCAGCATTCTTGTGCAGGACCGAGGGTCATGGATGAATCGAGGGAGGATCCAAAGCAGGACGGGGATCAGGAAAGGGTCACCCTTAAGGGCATGTGCACATGCTGCGCCCCTGGCTGGGGATCACACCACAGCCCGCAGTGTGACTAAATCAGTTGACACAAGTTCCACTTTACTGCAGGTAGACCTTTATACGCAATTAGGCCTTGGCTGAGGGAACGGGAAGGCGAAGGAGTCCGGAAACCAGAATTGTTGAACATCGCTCATTAGCCCTTTACAATATGTTTAAAGAACCTTGCAGGTACGTGATTCTGGCGTCCCAGAATCATATCACATCCGATCAGCAGTGTCTTTGTTAGGCAGCGACTGCTGAAAGGACCACTGCCCCCTTGCGAGTGTACAACACATTCCTTTGGAACAGGTGTTGACACACACACACACACAGGAGGTTCTTGTGGCTTGACCGTTCTTTTTTGACGGAGGTTTCTGTTTTTGCTTTCGCTCATAGCTCCAAAGACCAGGCATTCCGTTGGGGTCGCTTTGTGGTCGCAAACACGCGGCAGATTCTGATCTTGTTGCGTTCTTGCGCCGTTCTGGCTCCCCGGCTCCTCTTGATCCTGTTTGGTCTCAGATTTCTTTGCTGTTGGACGTGGTTCATTTCCAATCGGGAAACCCCGAGGGCCTCGTCCGCTTTGGGACTTCACCATTGGACTGCGCAGCTGGACGGCAGGATCCGGTGGCCTCTACAAACTTCGTCCTTTCTTCTACTGCAAGTGGCCCTGTCCATCTGATTTGTTGGTGTTGAACACATTTGTTTGCCTTTCAGGTGGCGCTCATGAAGAGCACCAGTGCAACAAGTTTCGCGATAAACCTTCACAGAAGAAGACACCGTCTGCGATATGAAGGAAAACTGTCTTAGGACCTTCGTCTAAAACGGTGTTTCAGAGCTGACCTCGTGGAGCCACTCGGGAGACGTTTTCCACGGTTCCCAAGTCGTTGGACCCACTCGTGCAGTTCGCTCCGTCTGAAGCATCAGACATGCGAAGACATTTGAAGACGCGGCTCCACTGTGGTCATGTGCGAAGACCTGTGAAGACCAAGACCCGTCTTTTGGAAGGTGGAGACGAAGTCTTCCGCCAGAAAGGCCTTGACGCCATGCCACGGGGTTGAAACAAAAACCTCGAAGGAGCGAACGTGGTCAGAGATCAGGAACGAGCCACGAGCTGCATTACTAGTGGCCAATAGGCTCTTGCTTTGTTGGCCTTACTATTGGCAATAGCTACTAGTAGCATTTGGCTTTGTTGGCCGACTTCGGTTCGGCGCACCATGCACCACCGAACCGCGGTCGCGGTGGGTCGCGAGGCTCCTCCTGGCCGAGTTCGGTGGGCCACTATGAAGGACGCTTCGGTTGCAGGGGGGGATGCTGACGGGCTTGTTCAGTCACCAGCTGGATTTTGAGCCGGTGGAATGTCAGGAACTTTTAACTTTCAGGATTGGGATGCTAGCTTGAACTAGCTCAAACATCGAGGCTAGCTTGGCCCGAGTGTGATACTTGCTAGCTGGATTGTTGAGAGAGGAAGGAGAAATCCTGGTGTTATGTCTTTTTTCCCTTCTCTTCGTCTGAAACGGCGATCATACCCAGCCGAAGAAAAAACCGTTCACGACATCTTCTTGGCATTTCGGATCGCTTCGGATCGCTTCGTTCGACCCTTTGGCCCAGGTGTGTCAACCCAGACCCACTCCTGTGCGCGCACGGTGGGCGCTGGCTACGGCGCCGATCGGCCGGTGACCTACGTGCGAGGCGGGGGTCCCGGGAGTCCGAGGTGACTGGTAGGATGTGAAGGCGGAAGGACGGCCCCCACTTCGGAAGGGAAGGTAGATCGGCCATGCAGTGTAAAGATATAGTATATAATATAGAGTTATATATGAACAATATAACATCGTGACTACAAGACCGCAATCCTGTTACTAGCGGCTACTCTCCAACCGGTGCGTAGCTTCTGGTTACAAGCAAGCCTTATTAGCCTTATTAGCCTTGACACGAACAGATCGCACCGTGGACCTCGGGTCCACAGGGCGCGCCAGCAGTGGCATGTCCTTTGGCCCGGTCATCAAGCGGACCTTCACGCTCTGCTCGGTGACCCGCTACGACAGCACCTATGAGTCCCACCGGAACCGGATCCTTCAAACCACCGAGACTCGGCGGGGGGGGTGGTTGAGACTCGGGCATTGCTGTTGGGTTCGGCAGGACTGCCGTGGAGCGCCTGGAGCGCAAGGCGCCCCGTGGAATTTGATACCTTACTTGCTTCAGTAGCTTCTGCAGTGTGGAGCTTTGCAGTGCAAATGAATCTACTGTAAAAGGTTATGAGGTGATGAGTCACCCCTCAAATCAACCCTGCTGAGTAGCTTCATCCGGAAACGCGAATTGCTCAAACGCATCATGAACTGGCCAGCTCCCCAAGTCTTCTCAAAGTCATCACCTGAGCGCTCTAGGAATCGAACTTCTTGCACGGCCATTGGCATGGGCAAGTGGGAGTCGCCCACTACAACAGTAACGGGTGGCAAACCGACACCTACCGCCAGCACGATTCGATGGATTGGCTGGTCTTTTGCGGTACCAACGCCGCGGCGCGCATCTATGATGACATCCACAATGTGGCCACAAAGACCGCGGGAGACTTGGGAAGCTTCGGTTGCAGCTGGGATGACAGGCGGATGACGGGGGTCACGTGGACGTTGTGACCAGACTTGGAGAACAGAGCAGATCAGATGTAGTCTGTTTCACAGTCCCCAAGTGACAGTGCCATACAGTAGCATGTACTTGTGGTCAAGCACTGTACTTCTCGATACTTATGGCGGTCAGATGCTTGGACTCCGGATGACACTGAGAACTCGAAGGGTTCTTTTGAGCTGTTCGTTGGGCAAACCTCCAGCCAGGCAGTAAGAATCTAACAAGAACCAGCACCATTTCAGTAGATACTAAGGGCAGTTGGCTCCATCTGGTGATGCTATATAGCAAGACCAGTACTGTCGATAGGCTCGCAAATCTGTACCATCAGAAAATCAGGCAAGCCTATCTACTAAGATGAGCAGCCTTGGCCGGCCGTGTCCGTTTCCCACTTGATGAGCTCTCCCTTTCCCACTGGTGAACAGATCCCACCTGTCCGTCCACCGCTTTTGCACCCTCTACATACTGATACCATGTGGGTGGTTAGTACCTCCCTACTAGGGTCAGATAGACTTGAAGGTCAGCACCCAAATCCTCAAGTGTTCACGTCCCTTTCGGTGTTTTGTCTTCTGGACTTCTTCGCTTTACCAGCGCTTCACTCGCCCCCAACCCTGTCGCACTCTCCAGGAATGGATCAAAACTTGGTGATCAACCCTCATGAAGGCGTGGCGTACATCGAAACCAGCGACTTCGCCGTGATGGAGATCATTACCTTGGATCGAGCCTTGAGCGATGCTGAGATGCTCCAGGTGCAGACCGGGACTTCGACCGGGTCCACCGGACCGAGGGTGAACGCGAGGTGAGCGAAATTCTGTGACCCATGTTCCAAAACGTCGGGCTGCCCGGGTGCCCATGCAGCTTCTGTGTTGCTGAAAGATGTCACTTCCCCGATTCTTTGTCCAAAAACGGGGTTCTCTCCATCACTTGAAAGAGTTCATGAGTTTGTAAAGAGTGGGACCTGCTTTCCATCGAATGGGTGGGGTTCTTTTTGATCCTGAAGGCAGAAGCAGTCGTGTGTATGTGGAAGATCTTGTTTGCCATTTATGGTCACACCCTCCCGTTGTAGAACCAGGATGCTTGAACCTTTTCTGATCAAATTTGGCAGTCTACTAGCGCGAACATGGGTCTGAATCAACCAGGTTCCTGCGGTTCCAAGCCACACGCACACGCATCTACAGCCGTTGACAAAGGAATTCGATGAGAAGGAACCTTTTCAGTTAGGGTCAAAGCATGCGGAGGGGTTTCTGGGTAGAGGAAAAACCATCTGAACCCCTGCTGGAAGTCGATTTCAGCAGAAGCCCTTGTAAAATTCAAGCCGGAACCCCTCAAATCAGGCGGTGAACTATTTGAAGTGGAAGTTAGCGGCTGGCAGCTTTCTGGAAGCAGAACATCTCAGCGACTACAAGGACCTGTGTCGCCTAGGCGAAACAGAAACCAAAACACGAAAAAGGCCTGCCGTTCTGTGACCGGAACTCACGGACTGAACGCAGCGAAGCTCGGCGGAACCTTCGCACCGGGACGTCTTTTCTCCTCGAGAGACGAAGAGAGAGTGACCCTGCCTCCATCGCTGCCTTCGGGCACACCAAGGGGTGCGGAAGTGGCTTTGTTGGCTCCAGGAAGTTCCATTTGTTGCAACATGTTGGGGTGTCACCATTTACTCCCCTGCAGATTCACCTGGAACCCCAAGACCACCGGTCGCGGAAAATGGATGAACATGGTCGAAACCACCGGTCAATTCTCAGGTTCCATGTTAGTTTGTGGGGGGGTGCCAACCACCGAATGGGACTCCGTCGGACTGCCTGGGCTTCAGGAGTTTAACTTCGTCGACCATGTCACAGAAGTCCATCAGAACCTCAATGATATCGCAGGAGAGAAAGGGGGGGTTGAGAGAAGTTTATTCCCTAGATATCTGAGATTATACATCTGGAGTTCCTACTTCAAGTATATCTGGGGTCTATGCTGGCGTCATCTTCGTTGCTTTCGGCCCCTCTTGGTCTTCGTTGAGTATCAACCCCGTGACCGTCGATCGTTTTCGGCAGGCCAGACCTTCCAGATCAATCTTAAGAACGGCTATTCTGCCTCGCTCACCGGTTGGACACACACCCGGGACTATGCAGGCTTCCTACGGAATGCTGCTGGAAAGGCGGGACACATCTGACATGTGAATGACTGCACATGGTGCACATGTACAGTCGTCCACCTCGCTTGTTGGGGGAGTTGTCTATAGATGCTACCATCTTGGGGAGTCACCCAAGATCTATTCCGAGACACTATGTCATGTGTGCCGTCCACCTGCGACTGGCGGCCTAGGCCACGTGTGAAGAAAGACAACCAGCAACCTACTAGTGATGGCCTCCAACCCACTAGTGATGGCCTCTGACCTATACTAGTGATGGCCTCCAACCTACTAGTGATGGCCTCCAACCTACTAGTGATGGCCTCCAACCTACTAGCGATGGCCTCCAACCTACTAGTGATGCCCTCCATCCTACTTGTGATGGCCTCCAACCTACTAGCGATGGCCTCCAACCTACTAGTGATGGCCTCCAACCTACTAGCCATGGCCTCCAACCTACTAGTGATGGCCTCCAACCTACTAGCGATGGCCTCCAACCTACTAGCAATGGCCTCCAACCTACTAGTGATGGCCTATGGCCTCCAACCTACTAGTGATGGCCTCCAACCTACTAGTGATTGGCTCTGACCTACTAGCGATGGCCTCCAACCTACTAGTGATGGCCTCCAACCTACTAGTGATGGCCTCCAACCTACTAGTGATGACCTCCAACCTACTAGTGATGGCCTCCAACCTACGAGCGATGGCCTCCAACCTACTAGCGATGGCCTCCAACTGGCGATGGCCTCCAACCTACTAGTGATGGCCTCCAACCTACTAGCGATGGCCTCC